GAAAAAGAAAAAGAAAAAGAAAAAAAGGCGTGCGTTTTGATAATGCTTAGATGCGCGTTTTTTCGCACTTCTCCTGATCAATCAATGCGCGCGAGCGCGATCGCGCACCTTAAAACACAAGGTCTGTACCGGTACTAGTGACTATAGAGTATAGTAGTGTATGTATATATATAGTGACAGTAGTGTCGATGTTATGAGCAGTAGGGCCTACTTTATCAAGGTGATCGCTAACCCGACCAGGTTGTGTGACTAACGTAAATATACACACGGTTATATGAAACAGTATTCTAACCCTAGCAATACCGTTTCTTGGAGCTAGGTCAGTAGGTGATCGCATACGTTTTAATGGAGACCTTTGTGACGTTTGCCAATTCATGTCCAAGAAACCTACTGTCGCCTAATGGCTGCTCGACCGCCGCTGTGTAGGCCTACCTATGTCGCTAACTTAGTAACTACAACATCACTGTCATTGTACGGTGCAATCAACTGTAAAGTGTAATGACTTATTGACTAATGCCGTAATGGTAAGGCTAATGCGTAATGGTAATGTCTAATGAACTCACTGCTGTTCTTGTTGTAGTTGTTGTTGATCCCTAAATTTTTTTCGATGTTGCACAGTCCTCGGCTGGCTTACAAAACTATATGTTCCCTGGGGTTTTTGCGGTAATACCGTTGCCATTTTTTTCATCTAATAACTCACCACGACCACATATAACCTGTCAGTCACACTGTACGAAATATAGCATTAAATCTTATACATTATCTGACATACAAACTGCCGCACTTCCACACGCGATAGAAATGTTTTGAGTCGAAGAACAACCCTTAACTTTAACCTAACGCGGTCTATATTTCGTAAGCTTATATAAACTACTACAGTACAACTACCACATATATGATTAAAAAATACAAATTGGAATGATCATAGGGTAGACTAAATAATGTCTAAATTCTGTTTATTTATATAATATTTATTAATCTATGTAGAAAGTGTGTATTGATATTACTGTTTCCACGGCAACGCGTGTTCTACTTTCATGCGAGAAATACCGTAACGTACCCGTATGTAAACAAACATGGCTGCTTTGTGGGCTGGTTAGTTATCCAAAATCTTACTACTTAGGGTTACATTTAAATTGATTCTTACATTTTCTTACAGTTACAGATTCTTTTCTGACAGATTCTTTTAAAACAGATACTTTTTCTGACAGATTCTTGCATTTAAAACGATTGTAATAAATGTATATATGCCATAATATGGATAATTACTTTGATTAGCAGTTCTGGCTATTTTTTTCGCACATGCTGATGTGCCTTTGGTCATACTTACTCAACTATTGGCGGCCCAAGGATAGAGTCTAGAGAACATGGGTCCCAATAAAAGATTAAAACCAATGTTCGACGCGACCAGGCGAGGGACCCAAGCGACCGAGCGGGGGGAGGGTGTGGGAGGGGGGTGTTCACTGTTCACCCTCCCGCACGATGGAGATTTTGCAATTATTACACTAAAATGGAGCGACCTGAGGTGAAATTCTTGCAAATTTTCAAAAAAAAATAATTTTTGCTTGGGGGAGGGGCACGGGGGGGGTGTTCGTTCGAACCCCCAAACCCCCCCTGGCTACGGGCCTGATATTATGGCATATATACATTTATTACAATCGTTTTAAATGCAAGAATCTGTCAGAAAAGTATCTGTTTTAAAAGAATCTGTCAGAAAAGT